AATTCGATATCAAATAATTTTTTTATGTCGATTAAAATTTCTTTTATTATCCCCCCCTCCCCCACGCGAATTATATATTGCGAAAAATATCATTTCATCAACCAGGGATCAAACCTGGATCGCCTGCTCTCCGGGCAGGCATCTTATCCATTAAACCACCGAGGCATATTGTAATATTTATCGCAATACTTAGATAAATAATGTGTCGAACATTTGGTTTTCGGTACGTAAGAATAAACAATATCAAATTTCTATACTCTTTATTAACAAAGGAGAACGTCTCATGAAATAAAGTAAAAATTTTATACAAATATACATTTAGTTAACAAAGGTAGACATTCACAAGATTTTATATCTTTTTATTCCTTTGTAGAACGTCTTCTATAAAGCTAGAGTTACAGATTATGCGCGATTCGTAATTTATGTCCTTTGATTTCAAAAAAAACCGCCTTACTGACAAATTATATGCGAATAATAAATAACAAATAGCGATTCTGAACGACGAATTTATTATTTATAAATTCATATTCATATAAATAATAAATTACAAATCTCAAATCACGAATAACACAAGTTACGCATAGTCTGGCTATTTTAGATGCTTATAAAATATATTTTATATTTAATGCTTAAATATAAAAATTCACAATTTATCATATTTTGCTATTTACAATTTAACTTATGATTAACGGACAATTTTATTAATGTGAACCAAGATACACGTGTCAACACAAATTTAATCATAGTACGGTTGCTACTTTTAGAACACTTGTTTACTAGACAGTTCAGTTCATTTGCATTCCAGTCCAAAAAGATTAGCAAAGAAATAACGAAATACATGGACTCGGAAGAACGGAACGGCTGCTCCTTCGAGGGTCAACTGATAAACGTGAATCAAATGCACTGTCTACACCTCGGCACTAGGTCAGCGATAAGGACTCGCTGTGACACCCAGACGTGTGCTAGTTTAGAACTCGATACTTTTGATCGATTCACTACAAAGAAATAAGGAAAATGAGTAAAACAATCAATTAAAGAGAGAGAAAAAGGAGGAGAGAAAGAAAGAAGGAAGGATTCGTCGACCATGAACCTTAAGGGCTCTCTGTAATACAAATAACCCTAGAGGCACCACGGCGAAAGATCCAATAGGATAGTAGAAAGAAAGATTTG